TTTTGCTGTTGGCCAGAAATATTCATCACCACATCTGTCTTCTCCATGTTCACCTGAAGTCCTATCTTCTCTGGATGCTTCTTCTGCCAACTTGTTGCTTTTCATTTGCATATCTTCCAGTTTGTAGGAAATCAGACAAATATCATCGGCGAAATCCAGATCTTCCAAGTTTTCTGTGTGGGTCCATTTTATGCCTACCTCCTCGTTGTCCGCTCTCTGTCTGTCGCATTATCCAGTCTACCGCCCTCGATCAGGAAAATCATTGGAGATATTAGGCAGCCAGCCAGCCTTGTCTTACTCCCGTCTTCACTTTGAAGGATTCCGTGAGTTTCCTGTTGTGGATTACTTGGCATGCGAAAGAAAAAAAGGGGGATTAGAGGAAGATACACCCAAGGAGAGAAAAAGGAACTTTAATCCGGGTTAGGCCACGGTAGGAACAACGTCTGAACGTATTCTTTTTTAATACAAAGTCCCAGTTTAGTCAGTCTTATCACAACCGCTTCAGCTATATGTTGAAGACGTAAGCGAACTGTGAGTGAGTATGATTTCGGAATGTGATATGTAACCCTGAAAGCTACGTTAGCATCAGTACGATGTCATGTGTTTACCAAGTATAATAGAAGGGAACCTTTTATGCATTTGATTTTACCCTTTCTGAACCAAGCTAGTAATAAACGTTTTCAAATCCACAGACAAAGCTGACTAATCTTGTGTATAGTTTTGAGTTTCAGTAGTACGGGACAAAAATCATCCACAGAATCCAGATCTTCTTGTTGGTTCCACGTATGCTTATATTCACATTCCCCCTGGTCTTCAACACTAAACAGTCGACCCAGATTTGGGAGGGTTAAAAACAGTATATAATTTTGATGATGAATGACAATGAGGCAATATTTTTATCAAAATATCAACATAGACCTTATTAACAATAAGTAGTATAATTTTAAAACGTAAAGAATCAAACAGGTATTGAATCACATGAATGTAGGGAATAATTACAACAAAGGTATTGGCATGATTAACGCCATAAACTGCCCACATCATGCTTGCTTATAATATCTGTGCATGATGTTCCAGACTGTGCAGAAGAAACGTCTATGTGTATGAATTTACCGTTCAAAGGAGACTCAATCACTGGATTACTGTCATCGAAACTCTGAAAAAATAATATCTGAAAGATTGTTTTCCGCAATATTATGTTTAAAAATTCACCACTGGTTCTATAATTCCAGTACCGGTTGAAAGACAATCTACCGAGGCTGGTCACCTCAATATGCATTTATAAAGCTGAATGACTCAGAAAGCCCACCGTCACCTTCCTGATCAATGTCCAATGTGGTTAGGTAAAGGAGTTGTCAAGTCAGTCAGGAGTTCCATATTGCCACAACTTATGGATACGAATCACAGGATTGATAAAAATTCCAACTTTGCAATTCTACATAAGGTGATAACTCATTTCTCTAAGTTTCTAAGCCTTCGACTGCTAAGCGCAGCTGGGGTAGGTGAATAATCTTCTTGCGACCTAATCCCTGTGTTCACAGAAAGTTTGTTCAATCCCTCTCCCTCTTATGGCCTTCAACACTGACTTAGAATAGTTATCCCGGTAACACTAGATAACGGGAAATATTGTTGTTACTTGCACTGCCAACTTTATTATCAAGGTGATTCCGTGTTATAGTTACATTTATTAATCTTAATTTCACAATTTATTATTATTGCCATTCTATTTTCTCTAAATCAGTCAGTAAGACGTTATTTGCTGCAAAATTACAAATGATCTTCACCAGCTGCAAGTTGTTCTCCATCTCTGTAAAAGATAAGCTCCCTCGTCTGACCGCCTCCATGTGCATCTATCAGTTCACCTGTGCCTGCGGAGCAAGGTGAATTGGCGGTAGACACAGAACGCTTTTCACACAGATAAGAGAACATGATTTAGCATGGTTTTCCGAGGGAGAAAGGAAGGGTGTATGAAGCTCTAATCTAGAACACCTGATCGATTCCTGTCACACTACCAACTCTGACTATGATTTTAAGATCATCTATCAAACTTGCCAACCTCGTTTTCTTCTTTATAAAATCCTAAAAACTGCGGAGGCCTCGGTCACTCATAAATTTAAGCCAACTACACCTTTGTGTACAAAAGAAGTATGTACAATCCTTACTTCTGCCTTGACCGTAGAGGTATAGACATTTATTTGTTTATTCATTTTTTATTGAGTTAATCTATGTGCCTTTCCCTCAATACTACGATTATTATTATTATTACTATTACAATTCTCATTGAATAGCAAAGTGACCGAGGAAACAGCGGAGAGGAAAAACGAAAGATCCTTGTGAAGAAATGTACAAAAAGAATGAACGGGAGGCAAACGAAGATCAGCTTACTGAATGAGTTGCAATAGAGAACTTTGCACAGAAGTACAAGTTGCACAAGACAGACAAAAGAGATTCAAAGTTACTATAATGATCAGAAATATCCAGAGGAAACAATGGTGACGTGAAAAAAAAAGCATGACGGTTTAGTGGATATGAGAGATTACAAATAGTAAATGCATCTGAGCCCCACTGAGAACGATTTTGAGCTGTATATACACTGATAGTCTCCAATCACTGGTTTTTAACATCTTGAGGATCCTAACCAGGCAGGCTATACCTGCCTACCTACATGACTGACTCAAACCAGCTATCAAAGACTTCATGAACCGACTCCAGGTTTTGGTTGGGATCATCCCCAACTGTTCTCTAACCTAATCCTATGTCAGTTGACATTGCCTATCGAGGAAGGTTATAGTTCGGCATGAATGACACATGTCCTAGCCATCTCAATCTATGTAACTTTATAATGTCGTCGAATGACTCACTCTCCCCACCCACCCCCTACCTAACACTCCACGGCTAACCTCAACATTACTCACCAGATTATATCGTATTATAACACGGGAGATAGAACATGAAAATCTGTCGTCATGTCTTCCAATTTCGCTAGTCATATCGCATACACAGTCGTAAAGGAGGGCAAAGCAACGCCCCACCAGTTGATGAAACTACGAGGGTATACCACACAGTGAAGCAGTATTGCAGTTTACTGAGTGACGTTTCGAACAAAATTTATTGTTCATAATCATACCAATCAATTATAATCACACGACTTCGAAACTTCAGTTTTATAGTTTTCTTTGTTCTCTTCTATTTGTCGTAGTGTTAGCAGAATTTTCCAGATATCTGGGTGTACAGGTGTAGATTCATTCCTATTACACGTGTTAGCAGTTGATTCGATAAACAAAGCCTCTGCTATCAATCTCTCCCTCCACCCTCCTGCTACATTAGATTTTAAAACTGTCATCTTACCCCCATCACCCTATTGTATGGTTGTGTGTAATTGCATGTAATGCTATCTACGGCTGAACTATTGTTTACATTTCTTATCTTATTCGGGTCAATTAATCTAGATTTTACTAGGTTTTTATGTTCCGCTAGTCTGACTGCATCTTCTTAAAAGTGTACAAATCAGACTCCTTCAAACTGCAGAAGCAATGGCAATTCACTTGCTAAGTCCTGAACTCTGCATACAGAAGAAATTCGTTTAATCACTACACTTGCAATGGACGTAATTTATCTTAATACACGACAGGTAAATTCTATTTCTTTCTTTCTGTCTCTTCATTAGTATTATATTTTCTTTTCTATTGTAATATTTTACATTTTCAATTTTCCTGTTCTTTAACCCCACCCGATTTAATTTCTACACTTCATTACCACTGTTACGGACTTGACCAACTCTCAATTTCTAGTCATTTATGTTACGTCATCTACCTTATTTGCTCAATTTTAGTTCTAATCTGAATGCCATTATTCTCTACCCCACCTCTACTTAGTCTCTACCTGTAATTACCTCTGTTGCCATCCTGACCTAAGTTGAGACATTTTACTCAATTATATTACGTCATCTAACTTACTAACTCAATCTTACTTTAGTTGCTGTCTGATTAACTTTGTTACTATATTAGATCATTCTTGTATTACCCAATTAATTATCTAAACTTGACAAACCTCACGTACACACACGAAAAAAAATAGTTGTATACAAACGCGATTGTACAGCTATGTGAATGAATTCGCCACCGAAAAGAGTCTCTTCACTGAACGTCTTCTCTTTTTCTCTACGACTCAATGAGGATTTTTAAACTAATATAAAATTGTATGGAGGATTTCATCATGAGCTGACATCAGTTAGAGAACCATTGGAAAACCAACTGGGGAGTTCTGTACAGTTGTTTCGTCCTGGTTTGGGACTCTTCATCAGTACACACCCCACCGCCACGGCTGCTCCAATAGTTCTCTAACTGATATCAGCTCATGATGAAATCCTCCAACCAATCAAACAAACAGAATCCCTACAAAGCCGATACTTGAAAATTAATCTGATGCTCACTAGTGACTGGCCCTATTCAGGCAGTTAACCTGGGGTTCTAGTGGGAAGTCGTGACCAGTAGGGTACAGCAGGTTGAAGGTGAGGTAGTAACTCATCGAAGAAGAAGACATTGCGAAGTGGCTGCACTATATTGTGAATTGGCAGAAGTTAGAATTCATGGACTGGCCATTGGATCGGGTCCCAGCGAGTGGCTGAATGGTCTACGAGCTCGCCTTGTAACCAGATGGTTCTGGGTTCGAGTCGTGGCGGTGGGGTGCGTACTGATTAAGAGTCCCAAACTAGGCTGACAAAACAGCTGTCCAGTACTCTCAGGTTTTCCAATGGTTTTCATGATGAAATCCTCCATGCAATCAAACAAAATCCCTACAAAACTAATGCTTGATAATACAGAATCACTTACTACCACATTGTCCAAGTTTTACACAAATAGAAACTACGATGGGCCCAAAACTCCTACAGATCAAGAAATAATATTCAACCAAAAATTGCGCATAATAATAACCATAATGATGATTATAATAATAATAATAAACTTTATACAATAATGAGATGTAAATTCAAATTTGAAAGGCAAATGTACTAATTTATGTGTCTGTACAAAATATGAGAGCATAAACTGAAAGAATAATGACATATACGATAGGACACATCTAAGCCATGTGTATGTATATAAATAGACAGACAGGCAGATGCCTAGATCGATAGATAGATAGACAGGTCGATGGATAGACAGGATTAAACAGACACACAGGTACACGCACGCACGCCCATACACACACGCATCACGGCAAAGATGATAATTAAGTGAGTATAATTTGATGGCATGAATTATACATCAGCACTACACACAAACACATGCACGCTTAAAGCACATGATAAACCAAAATGAAAACTAAGTGAAACTTGACAAAAGGAAAAGAAAAATTATAAAAAATAAAGCAAAACAGATTTCAGTGCTATACAAAAAAACACAACAACAATATAACTTGAATGAATAATATACAATTTAGATAATAATTAGTAATATGTATATTGTTTAACGCATAAATAATATCAGTATTATTGCCGTTTAAATGAATTGTTCAACGTGTTCAATGTGTATGCTTTTTCCTTGTACATTTGTTTTACTGCATCAAATTCCTTTAATTATCATCTAATAAATCATCACGCGCATAATATAAATCAAGACAATTCATTCCATGAAATTGATCACGACTAATCTCTTCAATAGACATGTGGGAATCTAATAATTGATAGGTATTTGTAGCTTCATTATAACTGTATAAGACAAATCGAACAGTTTCATCTGAAAAAGAAAAGCAAGGGAGGGAAAAAAAGTAACAGAGAGAATTAATTAATGTCATTTGGCAAGTTTGGAAAATGGTCCGCTGACTAATCGATAACCGACAGCTTCTGTACCAAACGTTCATGACAATTTTATCATTTGTGATAACAAATGTGAACTGAATAATGTCAAGCCATCAAATTTACAATTGAAGTAGAAACCGGAGAGACAATCTCATTTCTGGACATCCGACTAACAAAGAAGACTGATGGGACCCTAAAGAGATCAATATATCGGAAGCCTACGTGGAACCGCCAGCTGACAAACTTTTACAGTTGGGTACCCATCAATCGCAAGCGGAACCTGATAATATCTCTTGCGACTAGAATCCGTAGAATATGCAGCCCCGAATCAGTAGAAGAGGAGATCACCCTTTTGAGGAAGACACTACTTGAGAATGGCTATCCATCACGCTTTAAAGATAAACATATAAAGCTGAAAATCAACAAAGAACAACCCATTTCTGTGCCTAAGAAGATTCTGTACATGAATGTGGCTTTCCAAGGTGACCTTTCCACCAACATTTTAAAGAGAAGAATATTTAACGCCCTGAAAAGAGCATTCCCTGATGCTGCTACATTACGATTGGTGTTCTTAAGCCGCCTCCCTACACCTGCGCGTCAGAGCAGTGAATAAAACTCGCCTAGGAGGTGGTGTAAACATGGGACCAGTTAAAAAAATCCCTCAGGAAAGACCAGAATCTATTCACTCTCAACCACACACAATGAATACATACTATGTACCAACCTATCAGTAAGATGAGATAAATATTTAAATTGATCAGATTACAACCTCTTACAAAATATATCAAATAAAGGTAACCAACCAAATCCTTAATAATCCACTAAGCGCAACTAAAACGTAGATTTCCAGAATTTCCAATGAAAATTAGTGACGCATTGGAGCAGGTGCACGAATAGTTTCTCACAAATGACACTTCATGGCGATTGTCCTATGAGTTGTTGGGTTACAGCTCGTTGACTGAGTGCTAGTAGTGTGCTGTGCCGTAGTCCGAAGACCTTGCATAGTATTCTTTATGTCATATACCCCTAATTTTAAAATAACTACATTTTTGCGATTATTGCGCATTCGTGGCACTTTTTGTATTTCCCACTCTTTTGAACGCCACGCTCTGATTGGTTGAAAGGACTTTTAAGCTAACGGTGGACATAGTGTTTCTCAAGGTCATTCAAAACCTATATATAATCAACATCGCTACATTTCACATGTCTGCGGTATTGTCGTTGTTCTTGTGGTTGACGACTAGAGAAGTTTCTATTAGCACATGGAGTTCATATAGCTCGTAGTGGATGAGAGTGAAACCCCGACGCGATGCAACCTTAATGGATCAGTAGTCTAGAATAAAGGTCTCTCTCTATAACAACAGAGAATACTTCGTCTACGTAGTAATAAATATATTAAAATTTTGTACTTACCTGATACATCTCTATTGATTCTTTGAAGATTAATCCGTACAGTTAAATATCCACAGAGATGATCCACTGAAAAGAATGAATGAAAACAGAGTGTATGTCACAAAGCGCAGTTAAAAGAAACTTTGATCACGAGAAAAAAATTAAAGCAATAATAAGAAAAAAAACAAAGTGTTCAGTTGATTTACTGACTAATTCAAGTTCCAATATCCAATATCGTTTTTACGAGCTAGTATAAACCAATTTGATTTCTTTGTGCTCGCCTCTTGATTGTGAGGTAGAAGTTCCTGATCTTCGGTAAACGTCTGTGTAGCTTGTCCCATCACTCGACTGTCGTAGCTTTGGTTGACTCCAGAAGGAGTAGTGCAGGGATTAGTTATATGTGGTTTGTAGTATGAAATGTATTAAGACTGTTACTACTCTGAATAGAGTTGAAGAGGCTATAAAGTTACATAGATTGAGATGGCTAGGTCACGTGCTGCACATGCCTAACCAACGCCTCCCCCAACGGGCATTACTAGCTCATATAGGTGCAGATTGGAAAAGAGTAAGTGGTGGCCAAACAAAAACATGGCCTCATCAATCCATGAAATCCATGACAGTTAAACTGAGTCAGGTAGGGGGGAGATGCAGACTTCCGGGTTGGGGCCCTCGGGACTCTAAGAATCAATGGCTGGAGACAATAGGTGACATGGCTCAAAATCGTTGTCAATGGATGGCGCAGATGTATTCAGTCTCTGTAATCTTTCATATTCCTTTCTACCATTACTCATTCTGTTTCACTCTTATACCTGTCTAAATTCTATTGATTCTCTTCATCACTCATTTTCTTGTCTACCTTTGTGTGCTATTTGGAACGTGGCAACTGGAACTGCTGCACTTCGGTGCCAAGTTCTATGTTGAATCCAGCCAGCCAGCCAGAATGGAGTTGATCCTTTCACCAGTTGGTCCTTCGGTATCGTCGTCAATAGAAAAGAGATAATAATAATGATAATAGATATAATTAGTAAAGGTATTCAAACTAACAGACAGAAAAAGAATAAGAAAACGCAACAACATATATATATATATATATACCGGTAATAATGATGATAATAATAATAGGTGTAGTTAAAGCTGTCAGGAGAGTAAGACTGAAGAGAATGTAAAGAAGTAAAACGACCAGTTTAATTGTCTACCTTTTAATGGTGTATGCGATTTTAAAGGGATAGGCCATTTGGATGCAGTCCTTGTGTCGCTGCATGGTTGTCCAGCCTTCGCTTAAAGGCGTCCACAGACGGTGCCATAGCTACATCTGCCGGTAAGGAATTCCAGGGAAGTCAAACCCGCAGGGAAAAGAAGTGGGAGCGCATCTGGGTCCTTGCCCTCTGATGAGCTATCCTTCTAGGATTTCCACGAGGGAGCCTATACCTACTCAATGGCAGAACACCTTTGTTTGGGTGATTCTGACTAAATTGAGACGGATTTACCTGATAAGAAGAGATAGTCAGTAAGTTCGTGTATCAACGTAGCTATGTTAGTCCTGGTTGACATATCTCATGGATAATGAAAGCCAAGGATGACACACACCAACCTCGTCTACTTCCGGCTCCCTCGCGATGTTAGTTTAGTTATCAGACATCGGGTTTACAAAACTTCAGTGAACTCACTGTTGCTCTACTTTAAGCATTCGACCATCAGCTGTCTGTGTAGTATTGCTTGTGCCCAGTGGCATCACGGAGTAAGTAAGTAGGTACTAATGGCCGACGGCATGTGTTTCAACATGGTGAAGACTGTCTTCCAATAAGTGACATCCACTTGGAATATCAACTTCAGTGGGATGCACATATGCTACGAATATCATTACAGCAGCTCTCATACCGTTCATCGTTCACGAGTTCTGAGACTGAGTGGAAAAGGGGGAAGGGGTGGTAAATCCATACATATGGAGCTATAGGATGAGGGGTAATTGTGTTAGACTGGCGTCTATAAGCACAACGCAACAGAACTGCGTGGAGCCGGAGAGATAATTCGAAACCCTGACTTGAAATATTTTGTCTGTCTGGGTTCAACATAGAACTTGGCACCGAAGTGCACCAGTTTCAGTTGCCACGTTCCAAATAGCACACAAAGGTAGACAAGAAAATGAGTGATGAAGAGAATCAATAGAGTTTTGACAAGTATAATAGTGAAACAGATTGAGTAATGGTAGAAAGGAATATGAAAGATTACAGAGACTGAATACATCTGCGCCATCCATTGACAACGATTTTGAGCCATGTCACCTATTGTCTCCAGCCATTGATTCTTAGAGTCCCGAGCGGGCCCTAACCCGGAAGTCCGCATCTCCCTCCCTCCCTAACTCAGTTTAACTGTCAGGGATTTCATGGATTGATGAGGCCATGTTTTTGTTCGGCCACCACTTACTCTTTTCCAACCTGCACCTATATCAGCTAGTAATGCCCGTCGGGGGAGGCGATGGTTAGGCATGCGCAGCATGTCACCTAGCCATCTCAATCTATGTAACTTCATAGCCTCTTCGAGTGATTTTCCCTCTTTGCCCAACACTCTACGCCTAACGTCAACATTACTTACTTTATTATACCACCTAACGTGAGAAAGAGATCGTAGACATCTATGATCAAAAACAGTCAACCTTTTCATATCTTCAACTCGTATTGGCCATGTTTCAGAGCCATAGAGAAGGACAGAGCGAACTGATGAGCAGTATACATGTCCCTTGGTTGATAGCCGGATGTCACGCCTACGCCAGAGACGGTGTAAGTTAGCGAAAGCAGCCCGAGCTTTCTGGATCCGTGCTGTGATTTCGTCACCAATCAATCCGTTGGTGCTGATACAACTTCCCAAATAGGTGAAGTGGTCAACATGTTCTATCACTTCACTCCCTATCACTAAGCTAGGAGTTGACATAGTCCAGTCCTGCGGGAGCATCTTACATTTTACAGGGGCGAATCGCATGCCAAACATACGAAGATTGCTGCTCCTCAAGGTGTTCAGAAGACTCTGCATTTTACTTGAAATATTATCAGATAATATGGTCAAGCATCGTAAACTATGACAAATATGTTGCAATTTCCTTCTTTCTTGCCTTTCTGTGAAGGTAATATGAAATAATAAATAATCAATAATCTTGACAAGTATAGTTATTTGCTTTCTGGATAACAACCCGCATTCATTCTATCCACACTTTTTTTATGTCCGTATAGATGCTTGATTATTCTTGTATGGCGCCTCTTTTGGTACCCCATCGTGTACCAAGTTTTTTTCAATAATAATAATAGTGAAATGACTAATGATTATGACAATTGATCACTTTTGTTGGAAATAAAATAAAAAATATATAGAAATACGATTGTACAATAGGAGAGAAAAATGAATTCACCACGCGGCGAGCCTCTTCGCTAAACTACGCCTAAAGTGTGTACTACTGAAAAGAATTATCGGTAGTATATAGATATAGATTGACAGGAAGTAAACAAAATCGAAAACAACATTTTAAATCACTGGCTAGAGAAGTAAGCAGAAGTGTTTATTTATCAAATTTGAATCTAGCGCTCACGTTGTGATTAGGTAAATAATCTCAAGGTTAAACCCTCGAGAAAATCAGCAACCAATCAGAACGGCTTATTATCACATAGACAAGTTTTCATCTCAAGGTTTAACCTTCAGATTATCAATAGCCTATCAGAACAGTTTATTATCCTCTGACCTAGGCAATCATAAATGTGGCCAAAAATGTATAAATATGGTGTGATTTTCTTCAATAAAAAAACTCCGATACTGAATCTCTTGTCTTCTCCCATCATAATACTTGCTTCATATGATTGTTTTTCTCATTAATGCCTGAATACGGAGGGATTTGATAAGTTTCAATTTTGACCCCGGAGTGACTTCAGTTAGAAAATCATGGAAAACCTACACGGACTACTAGTGGACAGCTGTTTTGTCCTCGTTCGGAGCACTCTCCAGCAGTAGGCATCCAGGACATCTTCAGGTTACGAGGCCAGCTGGTTGACAATTCAGACACTGGGAGGAAATCTAATGGCCGATCAATTCTAATATTTGTCAATTCGCGATTTTTATTGCCACTGCCAGCTGATATCGTCGGCGAGTATTTGTCACCGATCTCACCACCTTGTAATCTGAAGGTCTTGGGATTTGATTTCTGGAGTTGGGATCAAGGGTGAGTGCTGCTAGGGAGTCTTAAACAAGGACAAAACAGATTTACAGTACACCCTGGCTGTTTTCTAGTGATTCTCTAACTGACATCAATAACTGGAAAAAACAGGACGATAATACTGTCTTCCAAGATTATATACAAGGTGAGGCCAAATGGTACAAAGGGTATCAGGTTTCGGATTTTTGTGTATGGCGGAGGCGCTGGCGATTCATCAATACAACCCCGAACTCTGTATACAGAAAATGTTTGTTCAGTCTCTTATTCTACCTTGGTCTTAACTTCTTCACTAGTGGTTCCCTGTAGAAACTTTTGATTTTTCTTTTATTTTTTAAAATTTCTGATTTTACTTTTAGTTTGTTTTTGCTTTAATAATTAATTCACTATTATCAGTCTCATGTGCTCCTTCTGTACATTTCACACCCTCTTCACACTTGTTAAGTGGACACTCAACTACCTTTATTCTCACTATACAGTGACAATTTTAACCTGATCAAATTTCTATCTTTTAATTTTTTACTTCTAAAGCCACTTCTGAGTAATTATATCAATTATGTCACGCCCCCGTCTATTACTCAATAATAGAACATTATATACTTTTTAGTAAGTCTAAATACGACTGTACAGTACAGCCTATGAAGATGATTTCGTCGATAAAGAAAATTTTTTCGCTGATCAATTTGTCTTTTATTTTCTTCATAACTCTCAATGGGTATTTTCGGTAATACTGTTTTTGTTTTAGTGTAGTTGTATTCTCACAGTTGGACGGTTTCTCATTAGGAAGCTTTCACAGTCATCCTCCTAAAGATAACATCCCAAAAGGGTTACTTCGCAGTGAAGAAAGCTTCACAATTCATAAGCCACCCATCCATCTGGCTGTTATGGCCTCATCCCAGTCTCCAATTTGTCATGGACCTGTCATCAATTGATATAATCTCGTCGACAGTTGAGATGACCGAGGGGACTTATGCATGATTATTATAATACTGACCCAATGAACAACTCAACTCATATTGTAAGATACGCCCATTCGTCCCTGGGACCTTCTGACTCACTGAACCAAGTAAATATCAAAAGACAATGACTGGCACCTGTGACATTTCAGATACAACTTTCGTTAGGAAAAGAACCACGTCGTATTTATGTATTTCTAACCATATCAAAACATGCCTAGGGCAATGGAAAATAAATTCTTCTGATTGGTAGGTGATTCAGCTAAGTTCAGAGAAAATAAATATTCTGGTTTCCAAGTATTGGCATGTGTAGGGATTCGATTGATTGGTTGTAGGATTTAATCATGAGCTGAAATCGGTTAGAGAACTACTGCAGAACGTGAGAGTACTGGACAGTCGTTTCGTCCTAGTTTGGGAAACTTCATCAGTACGCCAGGGTTCGAACCCAGGGCCTCCTAGTTACAGAGCGAGCTCGTAGACCATTAAGCAACTGGAACCTAATCCAATGGCTCAAGAATCCCAACTGGTGCCAATTAACGCACGATATAGCGCTACAAGTCGCCAATGTATTCGGCGAGTATTTGTTCTCACACCTGAACCTATTCAGGTAGGTAGTTACCTGGGGTTCTAATGGGAAGTCGTGACCAGTAGGGTGCAGCAAGTAGCATGTTAGAACAAATACTCGTCAGGGATGACACTGGCTATCGCCAGTCGCGCTATGTTGTGAATTGGCAGAAGTTGGCACTCACGGGCTGGCCATTGGATTGGGTTCCAGTGGTTTAATGGTGTACGAGCTCGCCGTGTAACCAGGAGATCCTGAGTTTGAACCCTGGCGGTGGGTGCATACTGAGAAGTGTCCCAAACTAGGACGAAACGGCTGTCCAGTACTCCCAGGTTTTCCAATGGTTCTCTAACCGATGTTAGCTCATGATGAAATCCTGTAACAAATATTCCGATTGGTTGACGATTAGACCAGGACCAAATTATGAAAAAGGCGATGGAATTTTACCGTCAGTCAAGGTCACTCAATCATAATATGAATCATATGATGAATCACAAGTTGATTACTGTTTCAAACCGCTTTCTATCAACAGCACAAAGAAGACAGCCACATCACAACAACGAAATAGGAACTCCTCCTCTAAATCTGACTGAGTTTCAACATGGAACTTTGCACAGAGATGTGCAATAGTTACAAGTTGCCACATTTTATGTAGCATACAAAAATAGACAAAAAAGAAGAGGAAAATAGAAAGAAATTCAAAAGAACACTTCCAAGCCATTCTCAATGGCGCAGATGCATCCACTTTCTCTCTCTCTTTGTTATCTTCCAGATTCGGCAAAGTTAAACCATAGCGTCCCAGGAGTGTAAATGCTCCAATGACCTTGAACGCATGCTAGTCGTCGGCTAATGACACCTGTCACTATTATAGCGCAAATATGAACGCTATTCACCAAATAAAGAGCAAATTTAACCCAGATCACATTTTTAAGTACTGTCTGGACAATGTGTTAATAGCTCTTTAGGGTTAGGATTGGAGTTAAGTAAGGTATTAGGATTAAAATCAGGATCAGGGTTACATTTAGAGTAACGATTAGGGATAGATTTAGAGTTGATGTCATTTATTTTAATTTGTTTTATTATCCACATTTTCCCAGTAAGCAGTCGTCGATCCTCTTACTGAAAAACATAGTATATCACCCAAGGGCTTTTGGGGAAGACTGCAAAACAGGATAAGCGCGATAGCCGGGTCACAAAAAAGGCTCACCTTAAATCACCTCGGTCGATACACATATACAGAAATTGGTCCGACTTAGCAACTGATACTCCTCATTATAACTTGGACGTATTTTTCAATCATGTCGGAGAAAGACACCCTGTTTTGTGAGCTTTCATGCATTTTCTTGTAAATATACGTCATGTTTTGTGGAAAAATCACCTATTTTTATGGTTATTTGGTTCAAGGTCATTCGTGCGTTTACACCCCCACCCTTGGGAGGCTATTCTTTAACTTTGCCCCATATTGATCAAAACCCTCTTCTTTTTTCTCGATGTAATTATTATTATTACCACTATTATTTCCCCAGTGACTCTAAACTATAGCTACCAGAAACGAAACTGCCCAATTAAGACCTTGAAAAATCTCTATCGCTCAATTAGATGAGTCCGAAGCAAAAATTGAGTAATTTGAAAAAAGAACGTTTATATAAACTTAAGGTAATCTCATTATGGATAAAATTTTATTTTTCATAAAGTCACACAATGTTATGTTATACAGTAATATTTACTGATGACCACGTTTCGAGCACAATTTATTATTGCTGCTCATAATCATATCAACCTGCTTACTCATACAACTTTCTTGCTTAATTTATATAAAACCAGGGAGTGCTGGACAGCTGTTTCATCCTAATTTGAGAATCATCGGCAATACGCACCCATCAACAGGGTTAGAACTCAACACCTTACGGTTACAAGGCAAGCTCGTATACCATTTAGCCATTGGGACCCGATTCAATGGCCATCCCAGGAATTCTAACTTCTACCAATTCGTGATTTAGCGCGACCCCAACCAATGTCATCAGTGGGACATCCATCCTCACACGTGACATCTGGATGGACCTCACTGGTCACAACTTCTCATTAGAACTCCAGGAAACTCCAACTGATGCTTCCCAAATTAGGATGAAACAGCTATCCAGTACTCGCTGGTTTTCAATGGTTCTCTAACTGATATCAATCCATGATCAACTCGTAAAAACAAAACTAACTCATACAAACCAACTGTAGAAAATTAATTTATATACATGAGTAAAAATTGATTAGATATTTGAATAAAATCAATATAAGATAAAGTACATTCAGAAATAGTAATATTAATGTTATCAATAAAATGCAATCAGATGGGAACTAAGATGTTTTTTAGAGTAAAAACAAGTAACTTGTTAGAATGTTAGAATGTGAATTGAATACATTTTAACATTATTTATTATCCTCTGTGCGTCGGTGGCACAGAGGTATAATGTTCGCCGACTACGCAGGGGCTTCCGGGTTCGATCCCCGGCCACCGACGCACTCCCACACCTCACTAAGCCAATAATAAGATTGATAAAGAGGGAAAGTTGGGCGTGAGACTATCAACCCCATCCCGTAAAAATACAAAACACCACTGCTACCGAAACTTCAAACCTCTAGTTTGACGCCCTGTGTTCCACTGGGGACGTAAAGGAATAAAAAAATCTGATTTGACTGGTAGTAATATTTTTTCCATATTTCTGGTATTATTGATGAATCATTCTTATTGAATGTGTTGTGTTGAGTGTATAGTCTATGAACAAAGACTCAGTAATCAATCTCTCTCTCTCCACTTACTTATATTCCTTTTTAGAATTGTAACTCACCCACCCTATTGTGTGGTTGTGTGTTAATGAATGCAGTGTGATTGCTGAGCTTTTTTTCTAAACTACTTATCTTCACATGGGGTCATTCATTCTAACTTCAGCTAAATTCTTATCTTCTGATAATCTGACTACCCTTGATCTACTAGTTTGACCTGTGTAGTTCACACACAAGTTTTATATTGATTTTATTCAAAGGTCTAATCAATTTCTACTCTTGTATATAAACGAAGTAAGAAAGTTATGTGAGTACTGTGATACGATTGTGAGCAATAAATTGAGCCCGGAGCTTGGTCATCAGTAAATAATACTGTATAACATAACACTGTGTGGTTTTATCAAAATAAACTTTTATCCACAATGGAATTATACTCTATCACAGTGCCCAAGTTTTATCCTGATATCAATAAAACGTAAGGTAATGTTAAAAATAGTCACACAGGGTCTGTCTGACTGTCTGTCTTTTTTCGACATAGACCTTTGCACCGTTGTGCGGCAGTTCAAGTCGCCACACTCCCTCCATGTAGCACACAAAGCAAGAGAAGAAAGTAGGAGAAATGCATAATATAGTCAGTAAACAGAGGTGTGAGACAAAAAGAATAGTATTAAAGAAGAACAAGACGATTTCATTGGAAATTATAAGTCACAAGGAGTGGATGCATCTGCGCCAGGCATTGAGAACGATCACTTTGAGCCATACCACCAATTTTTTGCAACCATTGGTTTTTACCGTCCCGAGGACCCCAACTAGTCAGGAAGTCTACACCTTCCTACGTGGCTTAGACTAACTGTTGTAGATTTCATTGACTGGTGCCATGTTTTGGTTAAACCACCGCTAGCTCTTTTCTAGCCTGACCCTATGTCAGCTAACATTGCCCACTATCGAGGAAGGCGATGGCTAGTGCTGCATACGTAACACATGTCCTAACCATCTCAGTCGATTTAATTTCACAGCCTCGTCGACTGATTTCCCCTCCTTACCTAGCACTCAACCGAGGCCTAACCTCAATATTGTTCACCCTATTATACCACTTCACACAGGAGACAGAACGCAGGCACGTGTGATCAAAAACAGCTAGCCAGGCTTTCCATGTCCTCCACATTCAGTGGCCATTTCTCACAGCCATAAAGGAGGACGGAGCAGACTGCTGAGCAGTAAACACGCCCGGTCAGAACCTCCCCCCCACCTCAGAATAAAAGAAAACAATAAATATTATTCAGCAAACATAAACTCACCTGTAGTGATTGTTGGTGCTTTCAAATATTTAATTAAACCATTCCCTTGATCAATATAATTATTGTTACTATGGATACCTGCATTATTATTATTATTGTTATTATGAATATGATTATGATTACGATGTCCTGTTGATGTGGATGGACTACATGAAGTCGATGCACTAGCCGGAGTATTCATTGTTGTATACTGTGAACAATAACGTGGATGTGGTTTCAGCAAAATTTCTATTTCAGGATACACAGATGGTGATGATGTGGATGTATTATTATTATTACTATTACTATTATTATGATGATTATGTAATGTATTATTCTGTAAATGATCCCGATCAATACCAGTACAAGTACCAGCAGTGCCATTTGTTGTTGTAGTCGTAGCAGCAGCACTAGCAGAAGCGGGAGTAGTAAGAGTATTTAACGCAGCTGATGTAGGATTCCTGTGATGCTGATGATGATGGACCACAGGTAAGTCAGAGATGGAGCTGTTTTCACCAATTGAATTTGTATCCATTCCACTTTCTGTATCAGAATTATTCACGATTTGATTATTACTATGTAGAGATGTGGTGGTAATACGCCTTCCTGAACAATTCTCATTATTGACAAACTAGAAATAGGGGAAGAAATTAATAGAAAAATAGTGAAAACGATATTACACACACACACACACACATAAACACATATAGTATAGTATTATTTGATTGATTGGAGAATTTCATTATGAGCTGACCATTGGAACCATTGGAACACCAGCACTGGAGTACTGGACAGCTGTCTCGTCAGTCTAGTTTGGGACTCTCCAGTAGTATGCAGCTGCCACAGGGGTTCGCTGGCTGGCTGGATTCAACATAGAACTTGGCACCGAAGTGCAACACTTCGAGTTGCCACGTTCCAAATAGCACACAAAGGTACACAAGAAGAAGATGAGTGAAGAGAATCAATAGAGTTTTGACAAATATAAGAGTGAAACAGAATGAGTAATGGTAGAAAGGAATATGAAAGATTACTGAGACTGAATACATCTGCGTAAGCCATTGACAACGAGGATTTTGAGCCATGTCACCTATTGTCTCCAGACATTGATTCTTAGAGTCCCGAGGGCCCCAACCCGGAAGTCTGCATCTCCCTACCTACCTGACTCAGTTTAACTGTCAAGGATTTCATGGATTGATGAGGCCATGTTTTTGTTTGGCCACCACTTACTTCCAACCTGCACCTATATCAGCTAGTAATGCCCGTCCATCGGGGGAGGCGATGGTTAGGCATGCGCAGCACATGACCTAGTCATCTCAATCTATGTAACTTTATAGCCTCTTCGATTGATCTCCCCTCTTTGCCCAACACTCTACGCCTAACATCAACATTACTTACCTTATTATACCACCTAACGTGAGAAAGAAATCGTAGACATCTATGATCATAAACAGTCAACCTTTTCATGTCTTCAACTCGTATTGGCCACGTTTCAGAGCCATAGAGAAGGACGGAGCGAACTGCTCAGCAGTATACACGTCCCTTGGTTGACAGCCGGATGTCACGCCTACGCCAGAGATGGTTTAAGTTAGCGAAAGCAGCTCGAGCTTTCTGGATCCGTGCTGTGATTTCGTCACCAATCAATCCGTTGGTGCTGATACAACTTCCCAAATAGGTGAAGTGGTCAACATGTTCTATCACTTCACTCCCTATCACTAAGCTAGGAGTTGACGTAGTCCAGTCCTGTAGCAGCATCTTACATTTTACAGGGTCGAATCGCATGCCAAACATACGAAGATTGCTGCTCAAGGTGTTCAGAAGACTCTGCATCTTGTCAGTATCCTCCCCTAACAGGACTATGTCGTCTGTGTATTCTAAGTCCATAAGACTATACCCTGGTAACAAGTCGATTCCTAAGTCGTTAAGTTCAGTTAAGGATACTTCCATTAGCATATCTATGATGAAGTTAAACAGAAAAGGGGAAAGTGGACATCCTTGACGGACACCACTGGTTGTTATCAATTCAGATGACAATTCCCCATAAGCCCTTACACAGCTACGTGAGTTTGAGTAGAGTGCCTTGATTAGTGCAATGTACTTTCTTGGCACTCCCTTCATAGTCAAACATTGCCATAGTACCTCTCGATCCACGGAGTCAAAGGCCGCCTTCAAGTCAAGAAATATGGCAATTGTTGGACGCCTAAAAGTGTCTATGTTCTAGGATCTGTCGGAGAGTGAAGATATGATCTATGCACCCTCTACCTGGCCTAATGCCCGCTTGATTTTCCCTCGTTTGTTCCTCCCGAGTTCGGCTTAGTCTGTTCATGATTACTGAGCCTAGGATTTTAGAGACTATGTTCGTTAAGCTGATCCCCCTATGATTATCACATGAGGACTTGTCTCCCTTCTTGAATATTGGTATGATAAGTGACTTACCCCAATCTGATGGAACCGTCTCTGATTCCCAGACGTTACCTAGTACCTTAGTTAAACTATATACTAGTATGTCACCCCCATATTTAAACACCTCCGGAATAATTCCATCGGGTCCTGCCGCTTTGCCTCGTTTCAAATTACAGATAGCTTCTGTGACCTCACTTACAGACAGCGGGCCAGTGTCTATATCCCATTCGGGTGTGTGCTGGATGGCGGGGAGGCTCAGTGTGGCTGTAGGTAAGTTAAATTGTTCCTCAAAGTGTTCCTTCCAGCGTTCAAGGCGTCTATCCTGAGAGCTAATTAAGGATCCATTTTTCTCAGAAATAGTCTCACTTATGATTTGCCTTCTCCCACCCGTTTCCCTGATGAGTCTAAAGAGTTGCCTAGTGTTGCCTATCGACGATGCCTTTTCCATCTCTTCCGCCTTTGTCACCCACCACTGTTCACGGTCCTTGCGGAAACTTTTCATAAGTTTCCTTTTGTGCAGCTTTCGCTCCTCATTGAATTCGAGCTCGCCGGAATAAGTCTACTAGCATCTATCAGTTCGGATGCGGCAGTCGAAATCCCAAGGTTTTTACTCACCTTTGGATTTACCTTATTCACAGCTTTTACAGCTGTATCTATGGCTGACTGAATATTCTCACAGGCTTCTTCAGGGTGAGCGCAGCTGTCGAACTCAGATATGTGTTTAGCTAGTTCTTCCTCAAATAGGGACTTAGTTTCCTGATCGAGCTACAGGGGTTCGAACCCACGACCTTCTGGTTACAAGGCTAGCAAGCTCGTAGACCATTAGGCGGCCAATGGGACCCGATCTAATGGTCGGTCCATGAATCCTAACTTCTGCCAGTTCACAATATAGTGCTGCCACTTCGCAATGTCTTCTTCGATGAGTTACTGCCTCGCCTTCAACCTGCTGTACTCTACTGGTCACAGCTTCCCAATAGAACCCCAAGTAACTGCCTGAGTAGGGCCACTCACTAGTGAGCATCAGACCAGCTTTCAAGTATGGGTTTTGTAGGGATTTTGTTTGATTGATTGGAGGATTTCATCATGAGCTGATATCAATTACAGAACCACTGGGGAACCCGGGAGTAATGAACACATGTTTTGTCCTAGTATGAGGTTCTTCGTCAGTATGCACCCACCTACAACCAATCAAACAAAATTCCCACAAAACCAATACTTGAAAATATCGTATTATTTAACCGAATTTCAATTATCATCTCTCCTCCAATGGGGTCAGGAGTGCATACTGCTAAGGAATCCCTAAAACAACTAGGCTCAGGCGATAGCTGCCACCTTGACGTAGTGGTCGGCACCTTGCATATAACAGTCACTCGGTGAGCTACACTGACTCGAACTAATGTTTCTGCAGGTCCTATGATGCCAGAAAGGTTCTTTGATTAGACTAAAAGCAGTTACTGGCATAGTGTAAGATTTCTTTTACACTATGTTGGAGGTCTGTGCTTGAATTCATGCTCCTAGGGAATAGGGGTGTAAAAGCAGTAAGGCGTTCCCCCTCCCCCCAGATGACCAGCAAGCCAGTTATCCTGTCTCTCCGTTCATGAGACGGTGGAGGTTAGAAAAGGTTGACCACGGAAAATGTACATCCCGACTTAGTCTACGGTAATTCCGTAGACAGTGGTAAGTTCCTAATACAGATACAACCCCCCAAAAATCCACTTCAAATAGGCTGTGTATGATCCGTCTTAAGCAGTTGTCCCCTGGGCTTTGAAGTCATACAACACCAACACTCTTTCTGTTTTGAGTATCCTGAGAAAAGTCAACTTCCATGGGGTGTGGACGACTAGGGAGTAGCAGGCACCCACACACTTCCAAAAGCAAACAAGGTAAGTCTATACAAAAACTAGGAAGGAAGAATTGTAAAGTACTCTTTTCTGCTCCAAGACTGGAATACACCGACTTCTAGCTTAAAGACAGGGAGTGAACTGGTATGCCATGTTGATCGTTTTGCTTACTGGAGAAGTTAAATCAGCACCCTTATGAACTGATTACTGACGAAATCTCAGCATGGATAGAAAAGGATAGTGTAGCATTTTGCCAAGTTATGTTATCTCTGGAGTAAACGTGATATCCAGCTATCGATGAAAACATATGTGCACTGCACTCTATCCTCATTTACGGCAGTGAGACGTGGCCATTGAAAATGAAAGGTATGAAAAATCTAGATGTCTTTCACCACAGATGTTTGTGTTCTACCTCCCATGTTAATTGGCATAATATGGTGAGTAACATTGACATCAAGCGTAGAGTATCAGGTAAGGGGGGAGCGGGTAAGTCAATCGACGAAATTGTGAAGCGTGACAAGCCACCGCCTTCCTCAACGAGCAATAATATCTGACATGGATTAGATTACAACAGGGGTCGAGGTGATCAAGCCAAAACCCGGGTCAGTTCATAAATTCTTTAACATTTATAGCTTGAACCAGTCACATAGGGATATGCAGACTATCTGCTTGGAGTCCTCAGGATACCAGGCACCAATGAAGACTGGAGACAATCGGTGATATGGCTGAAAATCGTTGTCAGAGGCGAAGATGAATTTAACCATCATGTTTTTGTATGTTACTACTGTTTCTCCCTCACATTTCTCTTTTATCCACCGTAATGTGCTATATGAAGGCAGTGGAGTAACTTCAACTGCTGTACTTCTGTGCTAAGTTCTATGCTGAAACTCAGCTCAGAATATATATTTATATCTACGCATATTTTTTTCAAGATTTGGTTTGTAAGGATTAGATTTGTTTTATACGAGTTTGACCACGGATTGATATCAATTAGAGAACCAGTGAAAACCAGCAGGGAATAGCGGACCGCCAGCTGTTTCAGCCTAGTTTAGGAACCATCGGCAGTACGCACCCACCATAGGGGTTCGAACCCAGCACCTTCCGGTTACAAGGCCAGCGAGCTCGTAGACCATTCAGCCACTGGGACCTGATTTAATGGCCACCCCATGAATTCTAACTTCTACCAATTCGTGATTTTAGCACGACCACCAACCAATGTCATCCGTGGGAAATCCATCCTCACACTTGACTGGTTGGACCCCGCTGGTCACGACTTCTCACTAGAACTCCAGGAAACTCTGTCCTGTAGCAAGTCACTAGCGAGCATGCCTTATATATATATATATATATAAGGCATGGAAGCTTGTCTTGCTTTCCCGATCCTCGCTGCTGTGATATCCTCGTCAGTTCCCCCTGCCTGTAGTTGAAGCGATGCTTCCCAGGTAGGTAAAAGAGGTTGTTTCTTCCAGGTTCCTCCCTTTTATGCTGATTGTTGTCTGTTGTTGTTGTTGCTGTTGGTGGTGTTCTTGTCCAAGAATCTTCATTACATCTGTTTTCTCTATGTTCACCTGAAGTCCTATCTTTGATGCTTGTTCTGCCAAATTGTTGCTTTTCGCTTGCATATCTTCCAGTTTGTGGGAAATCAGACATATATCATCGGCGAAGTCCAGATCCTCGAAGTTGGTTTTGTGTGAGTCCATTTTATGCCTGTTTCCTCATTGCCCGCTGTTTGTCGCATTATCCAGTCTACTGCAATCACATTAATTGATTATTACCATTCCGAGGACCTCAGAGAGGAAGTCTACACCTACCTACGTGGGTAACTCAAATTAACATCGAAAGATTTCATGAATTGATGACACCTCCAAGTTTGAGCATCTCTAACTCTTTTCCAACCTAATTCTGAGTTAGTTAACACTGACCGTAGAGAAAGGCGATGGTTTGACACACGCAACACATGTCCTAATCATCTCAACCGATCACTTTCTTAACCTCATCGATCAGTTTACCGCCCTCTCATCTAACAATAAGTTTAACCTCAATATTACCCACCCTGTTATACCACTTAACACAGGAGATATAATGCGAACAGCTGTGATCAAATGCAGCTAGCCTTTTGATAAATTTCACTTTCAATGGCCTTGTCTCAGTCGTATAGGAGGACAGAGTGAACTGCCTCGCATCACACACGTCCTTTGATAGGTAGTCACATATCATGTCTAAGTCAGACGTGACGAATGTTGAAAAATGCCACACCAACCTTTTAGTCAGCAATCAGTCCTTTGGGGGTGATGCAAATTTAAAAACAAGTGAAGTAATCAACACAGTGTGTCGGTGGCACAGTGGTTAGGATGCTCACCGACCATGCACATGGTCCGGGGTTCGATCCCCGGGCTACCGACGCACTCCTTTACCTCGCTAAGCCAGAAATAAAGCTGGTAAAGGGGAACGGTTGGGCATGAGACTAGCAACTCCATCCTGTAAAAATAAACACTGCTAAAGAAACTTCAAGCCTTTAGCTTGTAGGTGGCCTATGTTCCACTGAGAACGTGAAGGAATAAAAAAAATAATCAATATGCCCTACCAATTCGCTTCCTATCTATCTATAAGTTGGTGCAGTCTAGTCCTGCAGCATCATCTGATACGTTTGATAGGGTAGGTCAAATCACATGCCAAATATTCGAAGATTTCTGCTCAAATTTCGTTCAGAAGACTTTGCATCTTATCAGCGTCTTTACCTAGAAGGACAATATCATCCTTAAATTTCTCGAAACAAAAAAGGAATAAGTAAAAACTGAAAAATAGGACAACACAACGACAAAAGAAGGAGAATACTTACATTTGATGATGTCTCCTCCTCACTAACTGCAACATCTGTATGTCCTGCTTCATTTGCTCCACTATGACCAGTAACAGTAGCAGTGGCAGTAGAATGATTCATGTCATTTGAAGGATTCCCAGTAACTGATGATGATGCTGATGTGTGCTGTGTACGTCCACCAGTGTGAATTGTACTTCTTCCTCGACCACCGCCGCTGGTTGTATTAGCTGCCGAACTACCATTTATGCCTAATTGTTGTTCAAGAGAACGTGTTAATGCAGCGCTTAAATGTTGCCGATTTAAACGTGCCAAAATTTTATCTTGATGTGCTTCATACTCCTATATGAGAGGGAGAGAGAGGGGGAGAGAAGCAGAGGGTGACGAAAAGATGTATGTATGTATGTATACCTTTACAGAAACGTCATCCTCTAAAATTCAAAACTTTTAGTAATGAAATAATAACATTAATAATCACATAAAACAAATTCAACGTGGGAAATTTCTGTACGACGCTATATACTACTGGTTAAGTAATTGATAGGACTGTTTTAAGTAGGCTCTCACATTTAGGCTTATTCTTCAAATTAATGAGACATTAAATTACAAAGAAATGAAGACTTAACAATTTGTTGCCAGTGATAAGATCATAAGGGTAGCAATGACACTGAATAGTGTTCAACAACTGACAACAAGCAGTGGTAGATAGCATTACATGCTAATGCTTGCTATTTTAACTAGAGCACGTTGACCGCTTCACTTACTTGAGAAGTACCATCAGCCCCAACGGGTCGGTCTCTGACGAAATCTCAGCACGGATACAGAAGGCTAGTTTCGCATATGCCAGTTTACGCCGTCTCTGGCGTAGACGTATTATACAGCTGGCTGTCGATCAAAGGGCGTGTGTACTGCTCAGTAGTTCGCTCCGTCCTCCTTTATGGCTGTGAGAAATAGCCACTGAATGTGGGGGACATGGAAAGCCTGGCTAGCAGTCTTTGATCACACGTGCCTGCGTTCTATCTCCCGTGTGAAGTGGTATAATAGGGTGAACAATATTGAGATTAGGCGTCGGTCGAGTGCTACTTAGGTAAAGAGGGGAAATTAACAGACGAGGCTATGAAGCTACATCGACTGAGATGGTTAGGACATGTGTTACGCATGCAACACTAGCCATCGCCTTCCTCGACAATGGGCAATGTTAGCTGACAAAGGATAGATCACGTTGGAAAAGAGTTTGTGGTGACCAAACCAAAACATGGCTTCATCAGTCAATGAAATCCACAACAGTTAGTTTAAGCCAGCCAGCCAGCCAAGTAGGAAGGTGTAGACTTCCTGACTGGTTGGGGTCCTCGGGACGGTAAACACCAATGAAGGCTGGAGACAATTGGTGATATGGCTCAAAGTGATCGTTCTCAATGGCTGGTGCAGATGCATCCACTCCTTGTGACTTATAATTTCCAATGAAACTGTTTTGTTCTCCGTTATTACTATTCCTTTGTCTCACACCTCTGTTTACTGTCTATATTATGCATTTCTCCTACTTTCTTCTCTTGCTTCGTGTGGTACTTGGCGTGTGGCGACTGGAACTGCTGCACATCGGTGCAAAGTTCTATGTGGAAAACAGACAGACGTTTTAACTACCACGTATGGGACCAAGAACAGCACATATTGCTATTTGAATAATTTCGGTTTTCAAAGAAATTGAGGTTGAACTGTGTAAATTGAAAATCCTAAATTAATTTAAGAATTGAGAATTTTAACTAAACGTATTACTAGTTTAATTGAATTCTAGGTTTCCCCGTCGATTGATTGGACGCCGAAGTGTTCCTCGGTCTCAGGTTGACATGTCTGTTGGCTTCTTGTGCAGATGCTTTGACGATGTCTAAGCATGTAATCAGAAGAAGCCGACATGTCAACCTGAGACCGAGAAGCACTTCGGTGTCCAATCAATCGACGGGAAAACCTAGAATTCAATTAAATAATTCATATAACCCGTTGCACAAGAGATGGCTCTCATGACCCAAGAGGTCCAGTGGATAACGCTTTGGTTGGCGTTTGAAACTATGGGCACTGGGTTCGAGCCTCAGTGGGAACATCATCACTCACTCACTGGGGAGTGCAGGTACATCCAGCTGGTGAGTCCCAAATAGAACGAAATGCGTGTTATCCTGCGTTCCACTGCTAGTCATCATCCACCAATCGTATTACTAGTTTGTTTAAATAGCTAGACAGAATCCGGATAGTTTGAACTGATTCACCTCTCTAGGCTGAGTCGAACTGCACAACATTGTTGATTGTGGGGAGATGTTGTTCACTGGCTTAAGCACTCGACTTTCAGTCGGCGGGAGCGGGTATCCCTGGCTCGAGTCCAACCGTCCCACTACCTACTCCAATCTGGGCAACTGGGTAGTACCATTACCTGACCGATAGCTGCTACCTTGACGTGGTGGTCGCCGGGCTTGCACATCGCAATGGCCCCACAAGCTACACTGGCTGGAACTATTGTTCCTGCAGGTCCTACCATGCGACGAAGGTTGTTAGGATAGCGATTAGACTAAAAGCAGTTACCGGCACTATGCTAGGTGTGTGTGGGCGAAGTCGTACTGCTTGGGAACAGGGATGTAACAGCCGCAGTGGGGTGTTTCTCACAGATGACCAGCATGCCAGCCAGCTATGCTCTATCGCCCCTCTGGAGAGAGGCGGTGGTTAGAAAAGGTCGACCCCAAAAATTGTACATCCCGACTTACCCCACTTACGGTAATCGGCGGTAAGTTCACTAACACAGAACCAATCGCAGAAACCAGTTCATACAGGCCGTGTGTGACCGACTGGCCTCAAGCAGTTGTCCCCTGGGCTCTGCGGTCATGCAACACTAACCCTCTTTCTGTTTCAGGTACCCGAAGAATCAGACAGACAGACAGACAGTATAATTAGCCCAATATAGGGCGATTGAGTGAAAACTAACTCATACTGCCGACTTAGTCGCCACCCCTACCCCCCACTAGACGAGCAAAATGGTCACGTCCAGTGTTTAAATCAACTCGATGATCTAGCTTTAACAGGCACAATACTGGTTGATCTGGATGGTATCTAACTACTTATATTAATCTATCAGTAGCATATAGTTTTATGAGTTCAGGCTTACTGTCTTGACCGTCACTTATGATATATCAGGCACATCACACATACATTGCAATCTGAATAGTTCCTGTTTCCAAAAGAAACTACGGTGAAATTTCACCTCCTCGAACTGTGTACAATACGAATCGCGAATTTGAAGGAAATTTCTGTTTACCGACAAAGTCATCTGTCTGTCTGTTTTCGACAAAGAGCTTTGCACCGATGTACAGCAGTTCGAGTCGCCAAACTCCACTCCATGTAGTACACAAAGCAAGAGAAAAAAGTAAGAAGAAATGCAAAACATGGACACTAGACAGGAATATGAGACAAAAAGAATAGTAATGACGAAGAGCAATATAGTTTCATTGGAAATTATAAGTCATAAGGAGTGGATGCATCTGCGCTAGCCAATGAGAACGATCACTTTGAGCCATATCACCAATTGTTTCCAGCCAAAGTCATCTTCAATAGAGCTGTGTAATTGCATTACAGTTCACTAAATTGGTTCAGGTGTAAAACACCTGCCGCCAACCACACTTCACGTGTCCCGAAGTTCGACCCCCCCCCCGCAGACACACTCCTAAACCTCGCCTAGCTAGTTAGTGGTGGTAAGCCCGGTTAAAAAGGGAGGGTTGTGTGTGAGGCTAGTAACCCTAACCAGTGCAAGAACAACATCGTCACTGAAAATTTGAAGTCCTATTTTCCACTGGGAATGCAAAGAAATAAAATTAAAATAAATAAAAGACGTGGATGACGGCGACATAATTGATACAGTTACTCATAAATCGTTTCTAATCATACGAAGTAACTAACGATAAGATGACAGTTTTAACATCTAATATAACAGCAGCATACAGGGAGAGATTGACGACAGAAGCTTTGTTTATCGAATCAATCGTAAATACATGTAACTGGAATGATTCAACACCCGTCCATCAAGACATTTGGAAAATTCTACTACCCCAACGACGACAAATAGGAGAGGACAAAGGAAACTATAAAACTCAAGTTTCCAAGTCGTGTGACTATAATTGATTGGTATGATTATGAACAATACTAAATTGTGTTGGAAACTTTGTCATCCAGTAAATAATACTGTTTCACTCTCTGTGTGATATATCTAATAAACAAAGTAATATGAAATAACTAAGTAGTAGTCGACAACACAATGAAAGTAAGAGTTTATTAGATGAAAAGCAAGGTAGTAAGGCGTTCTCTTGACAAGTGTGAAGAAGGTGAAAGAGAGGAAAAGACGGCAAATAAAATGATATTGATTTATCTACTAAAAATAGAAGCAAATAAATTTTATAAAATAGGAAGGAGTTTAACACCATGGCAGTATGAGACACTGAACGAGTCTTTTCTTCACACAGAGAATCGCTATCGCCTCCTTCAGACATAAGTGTTCAAACCGAACACACCTTGTACTCATTAGATGATAGTTGAAGACGATAGACACAAAGTCCTGGACCTAGGTTTTGTGCTTGTTGGCACTCATCAGTCAGCCAGCAAGGAGTAGCTGCAACCTTGAAGAAACTGATGTCTTTCCTTAGATTCGAACCCGCTTCAGCCAGTGCTGCAGTCAGAGACGTTACCACCACTGAGCTATTCGGGCTGGCTCACGATTGACCTCCTGTAAGACTGTATTTGGTACTTTGGTTGGACACTAATTAACTGGGATCATGTGTTTAGTCTTTTGTTTGGTGTAGACTGAATTCTATCAGTCGAATTATCAACAACAACAAAACACCTTGTACCATTTGGTCTTACTCTATAGATAGAAATTAAAAGAGAATTTCGGTGGAACAATGTAACCGGAGATCAACACAACCTCAAGTTAAATTGAAATATTTCTCTGGCAATCCATTTTTAAAAGTTTCCATAAAAATTCTTAAGGCAGGACTTAATATCATACAATGGGAGAGATTTGACAGAGGTTACTTTCTTCGCTTATCCAGCCAGGAAGCACGGTTTCAACCACAGGTGGACGGGACGGATGAATATGTCAAAGCCAGCCAGGCAGAATCGGAAAGGCAAGATACGCCTTCTTCTGCAAGCAGCCACCAGCATAAAGAACAAGATTCGGATTCTATTCAACACAAATGTGAAGTCAGTCAGTCAGTTCTTCTATATGGGTGAGAAACTCGGCCAGCGTGTCACAAAAAGGATTTCCAACAAGTTATAAACTTTTATCAACAGCTGCCACGTTCCCTGGCTGGCTCCATACTGAAGATCAAATGGCCAACCGGCCAGCAAGAAAGAATTAGTAACAAGAAACTTTGGCTGGCAACAAACCAACCAAGAGTCGATTGCTCAACAAATATGTAAGAGAAAAGGCAGATGAATCAGGCATACGTTAAAGAGGCCGTCAAATGACATCGCACACAATGCAGGTCATAGCTCAAGTGGAATCCCAATGGGAGGCGACAAGTGAGTCAACGGTGCGAGGGTAACATGGAAGAGATTGTGTGGCGATGAGGAGATGACAGACTATGATCAATCATGCACCCAGCAGAAGAGGACAGCCAAAAATAGGACAAAGTGGAGATGTGTTGTTGAAGCCGTATGTTCCACTCGGAATCCAACGGAATAATAATAATAACAATAATACATCACTATTTCACAACAAAAAAGTATAGAAAATAACCATAGAAATAAATACATACTTGACGACTTGGATATATTTTTGCTATTAATGCATCAAAATTTGGATCTCTTCTCAATGATCTTTTAGAGACCAGCTTTTTACGACATGTTGGACATTCTTTATTACCACTACGCAGTGCTGTTATAATACATTCAGAACAAAAACGATGTAGGCATTCTTTTGTTGTCATAGTGACTTTTAATATATCTAAGCATATTGGACACATTAATTCACTTTTTAAACTTCTTGGACTAACAGCAATCACTGTACCATCAGTAATTGGTTCTTGTGGTTTACGATGTAGTTCATATAAAGTAAGCTCCCAATTTTTAGATGATGCATTCTCTGTACTCATTTCTAAAAGAAGAAAAAAGAATAGAAATGGTGATAGTGTGTATAACTTAATTCGTAGTAAAAAATAATGGACGTATTAATTCTATCATAAACTTTCAAAGACACAGTTTCTAACCATACCACCAGTTTTTTATTCCTTTACGTTCCTAGTGGAACATAGAGCTTCAAGCTGGAGGCCTCATACCAGTCTAATTACTGGCTTAGCGAGGTAAAGAAGTGCGTCGGTCGAGGATTGAACCCTGGACCATATGTGTGGTTGGCGAGCATTCTACCACTGTGCCACCGACGCTACAGTGTTACACCCATTGACTGGGTATTTGTTTTCACGGGAACCAAACATACCCATCCCTGCCTCTTGCGAGACGAGACCGGGGCATGCAGGATCATCCAATGGCGCAACCACTCGAGAGCCCTCTTCCTCGGTGGACCATACCACCAGTAAGCAAATATTTCATTATAATAACTGACGGTGTGAAATTATTTCGGCAGCTGAATTTTTATAATTGATGTGAACTGCTTATCCTGTGGAAACAAGTAAAAGGCTATATCAATATGTATTTCAGAGACCAATATTTAATTGTGTCGCATACATCAATATCCAATAGTTTCAAGTCTTCTTATTATGAGGCAAAAGGAATAGTAATATGGAAGAAAAACAGAGTTTTATTGGATATGTCTGGCAAATCCCAAGGAGTGAATGCACCTGCGCCAGCCAGGATTTTGAGTCATATCACCAATTGTCTCCAGCCGTCATTGGTTCTTACCATCCCGAGGACTCCGACCAGTTAGGAAGTCTACATCTCCCTGCGTGACTTAACCTAACTGTTGTGGATTTAGTTTAAGCCACGTAGGGAAATGTAGACTTCCTGGTTGGGGTCCTCAGGATGGTAAAAACCATTGACGGCTGCAGACAATTGGTGATATGACTCAAAATTCTTCTCAATGGCAGGCGCAGATGCATTCACTCTTTGTAATTTACCAGTCATGTCCAACAAAACTCTGTTGTTCTTCCATATTACTTCTATTCTTCTTCCCTCACTCACACTTCTGTTTATTACCTCTCTTTTGAATCTCTCTTTACTCTCTTGTGTTGCTTTCTGTGCAACTCAAACTGCTGCACACCTGCGCAAAGTTCTACGTTAAATCCAGTTAGTCTTCTTATTATGTCTGCTTTAGCACTGAAGGATAGAAACATGGATACAATTATGAATAAGTTCCACTGCCAACCGAATGACCCACCTAACAAATCACACATGACAAACATGCTAAATGGAGACTTAAGTTGAAGTACTGAGCGCCTACACTAAGAGTCATTCAGGTGGTTTACAGAGACGCCATAGCAACAAATTAGATGTTATATAATACAAACCACCTATGCAGTGTTGTACAGGTTACAACTTATATGTGGCCAGTATCATCATCGTTGTACTGGCTGATATCCCCCCTCTTCTGATAACGTCTGGACTCAAATATATTATAACGTCAACAGCTACCAATGACGTGAGTGCATACACGACCGTTACTCTTTCTGGAACACTTGTCTAGATTCTCACTAGGCTGAATTGTTTATCAGGTTTTTCGCTTGCATTTTTGGTGGACAACATAAATTGTCATTTTACATAGGATGGTATACACAAATTGGTTACACATATTACTGCAGTTAAATATCATGCTAAACTATATGTAGGGCTAACTATTATCATTTAGCAAGCATGAATGAGTATGAAATCAATAAATACTCTCTTTTCAAAGTTACCAGTATATGTAAGTGTTACATACAACACAAACAAAAGTATCTACGGATGATGCCTACTCTCATCATCTGTCTGTCTGCCTGGTTTCAACATAGAACTTTGCATCGACGTGCAGCAGTTCGAGTTGCCACACTTCACCCAGCACACAAGGCCAGAGAAGAAAGTAAAAAGAAAAGCAAAATAGAAACAGTAAACAGACATACGAAGCAAAAAGAATAGTAACATCAAAGAACAATAGTTTTACAGGGTATTATAAGTCACAAGGAGTGGATGCATCTGCAACAGCCATTGAGAACGATCACTTTGAGCCATATCACCAATTGTCTTCAGCCTTCATTGGTGTTTACCGTCATCCCGAGGACCCCAACCAGGAAGCCAGTCTACACCTTGCCACGTGGCTTAAACTAACTGTTGTGGATTTCACTAACTGATGAAACCATGTTTTGGTTTGATCACCACTAGCTAACTCTTTTCCAACGTGATCCATCCTATGTCTGCTAACATTTCCCGTCGACGAAGGCGATGGCTAGTGGTGCATGCGTAACACATGTCCTAACCACTTCAGTCGATGTAATTTCACAGCCTCGTCTGTTGATTTCCCCTCTTCACCCAACTAGCACTCGACCGACGCCTAATCTCAATATTGTTCACAGGAGATAGAACGCAGGCACCTACGATCAAGGACAGCTAGCCAGGCTTTTCATGTCCTCCACATTCAGTGACCAGGTCTCACATCCATAAAGGACGGAACGGACTGCTGAGCAGTACATATGCCCAATCAGAACCCCAGAGACGGCGCAAACTGGCATATGCGAAACTAGCCTTCTTTATCCGTGCTGAGATTTCGTCGGTGACCAACCCGTTGAGACGGATGCAGCTTCCCAAATAAGTGAAGTCGTCAACACGCTCTACCACTTTACTCCCTATTTCTAAGCTAGGTGTCAATGGAGTCCAGTCCAGTTCAGTCCTGTAGCATCATCTTACAACTGGCGGGAGCGAATCGCATGCTAAGTATTCACAGATTGCAACTCATGGTGTTCAGGAGACTGCATTTTGTCAGCGTCTTCACCTAGGAGGGAGGACTATATCATCTGCATTTACTAAGTCGACGACATCATTCCCTGGTAACAACTCAATCCCTGAGTTTCTGACTTTCATCATTCGCCCAAATCCGCAATTATTAGACATTACTATGGATCGAATTTATCAACTAATAAAGAGTAAGCAACACAACAAAAATGTTGATGTATTTGCTTGTATTCATCCTACTTTTTAAAAATTATTAGTGGGTTTACTGATCATTTTGTCCACTCAAAACTAATAAACAGCCTAAAAAATTTAAGTCCAATGTTAAACTTCAGTCTCCTAACACACTGAGTTTTAATACAAACTAAGCGTCTCAAAAAAATTCAAGTTTCCCACTTTTTAGAAATACTGGATAATTTTCTGAACACAAAAATCTATAGAATGGGCAATTCACCCACTTTACTTGCTAACTAGTTTTTGGATAATTTTACTAATTTGTAGATCTCATTCTTGTGCGTCGGTGGCACAGCAGTAGAGTGCTCGCCAACTACGCAGGTGGTCCGGGGTTCGATCCCCGGCCACCGACGCACTCCTTTACCTCGCTAGTCCAGTAGTAAAACTGGTAAAGAGGTAAGGTTGGGTATGAGGCTAGCAACCCCATCCTTTAAAAATAAACACCACTTCTACAGAAACTTCAAGCTTCTAGCCTTAAGCCCAATGTTTCACTTGGGAACGTGAAGGAATTTTAAAAAATGACCTCATTCTTACTGCTAATTGTTAGGCCTTTAATTAATTCTTTTATTTAAAATTCCATTGTCATTATTCATCGAAAAGTGTTTTCATATAAATCACAATACGGTAAGAGTAAATGCTAGATACCAGTCAAATGACTCTGAACTAACCAATCAGACAACTCAACGTTACAAGTGATTGCTTTTCGTAATCTTCGTTGCAAGTTTCAACCTGATTCAGGACTAGGGTTAGGGTAGGATTAAGGTAGGCCTATGGTTAACGTTAGGGTGAAACTCGTAACGAAGATTAGGGCTAGAATGAAACTGACATTGTGCCGCTAACATTTGTTATTTTTTGTGGTTTTATTATTATTATATTTTTTTAATTTTATGTATGTACATATTTATAAAATGACCTAAATTGTTGCAATATGCACAAAAACCTTGGATATTCCACTCTGTATAATTATTGTTTGGAACAAAGTGATTATTATTATTATATTATTACTAGCGACGTAGATTAGGGATAGAGTACAAATAGCAAATAGGAAGCATTACATTTAGAACGCTGAGCAATGTAACTGTCATTATTTAAGGTAAATTAACCATAAAGTCAATCAGTCATCATCATCAGTAGTGGATCCTATAACTGGTGCTTATGCAGATTATGGTTTGTTTACTACAACAAATCCTATAGAAAACTGGAACTTCTCTTTACAATATATTAGAGACAATATATCTTATATGAATCACTTTTGTTATACGTATATCCAGTAAATATATTTTTTATACTCTATAAATGCTACTTTTTAGTTAGAAACACATAAGTGGTCGGTCCATTCGACTGTGGTATTTGTTGTTTACTGTTGCCTACAATCTAATCAGGTTCGAACAACAAAAAGCGTTTTCTGAATATAACCAAGCAGAGCACAGTTTGTGATTTAAGTTACTGAAACTTATGCTTAAAATAAACTGCTGAAGACAAACAAGTTTGAGTATGTAAGATCCCTTTGAGTCACTGCATACTTTCTTCTAAATGGATAATACCGTTAATTGAAAAAATCAACAGTAACACAAAACATGGATCCAGTCAAGGAATAATCCAAATCTAATGCGTCATACGAACGTAATATCATTAAAAATTGGGCACGAATAGTAATTTAGATGTGAAAAAGCGAACTTCATATTTACGAGCAGAAATAATGAAGAGATATGGTGGTTTTATGTAGAAACTCGTGAAATAGTAGTATTAGGTGAACAATTTACTTGTCAGAGTAATGAAGCACTATTGCAAGAAACATAAACCAACTGCACCCATAAAGGTCAAGTTAAACACAAATAAATTAGTATTCCTCAACCAAGTCGAACTGCATTATCTCTTGTCTCATGAACGGCTAAATTACCTAAACTTTACTGCTGTCACTGGATTCTGTCACGAATCGTCCTTACAATGTGATCCTTGCAAAGATACATTTAAATTGATAGATAATTGTCGGTAAGTGTGCAAATGTTTTCATGAGTGGCTAAAACTAGTGATCAGTTCATTTTTCAAATCGCAATGATCATACATATGTATATACATATACCTAATCATACGAAAAATAGTAAAAATTTGGTTAGTGGGCGAATAGTGGACATGGCCAACAGGAAGAAAAAAATACGCAAATTTTCGGTTACATGACATGATTTCCCTCCATTTAGACTAAAATATAACCAACATATTACTATTTCGACGAATAATTAACCAACATTTTCTTATGACCTCACCAATAATTTATCAAAATTTAACCTATATTTTCCCATTATCTCCAAATCGCACATAGATGGGCAAGGAACAGTGAGATAGTTAAAATGAGTGACTTTCGGGCATATGGTAATAGGGGTAAAATAATGGGCAATTCCTGGTTAAATAATAGGCAGGAGACCACTATGACTAGGTAAATGGTGGGAATGACAAAGTATTGGTTAGATGATGGTCACAACCATGAAATTTCGGTCCAATAAGAGTCAAGTTGAGAAGACGGTTGAAATAGTAGAAGTACTTTTAAATAAAAAGAATTCGTCGACTTCCCTAATATAGGCTAAACCCATTATTCACCTGATTTTACACATTTTTGTTCGACTAAATAGGTGTATATGCATATATATATCTTTGGTTGTGGTTCCAAATTTAACGCCATAAAATTGAACTTTAGATTAATATTTTGAGAAATCAACTTATGACATTCGTATAAGATGAGTATGAGATTACCAGAAGAATAAAGGTGTAACGGCCCACCTGTAGCTCCACAGTTGTGAGACGCGGCTATCTTCAATGTCCAATGAGCGACATCGTTGCGAAAGATTGATGTAAAACCCTTTAGTTCTTCCCATTCTCCACTCGATGTCAATGCCAAGTAGTTTTCTAGTTTATACTGAGGTAGTAGACCCAACTACTTACCTACTGTGAATAGATGGTAGCAGCATACAGGTCTTGTTCTATTACGTGACTGTTATATGCTATGGTAAGTCATAGTTATACACAATGAGTAAGTCAATTTTTTTCAGGTGGCAACATGTATGAGAAGCGACTCAAATAGACCCAAAAATAATAGTAACAATAATATTAGACATGTGTAAATATTAAATTTGTAGAATTTCAACGAAATTGAAGTGAATAATTCCTTTTTTCTCAGCAAAATGGCTCGAACTTCTCCAATTTCACTGAGATTTCACAAACGCAATTTTTACACGTGTCTACTTCTCACTCGACACCCAACTGTTTGGGAGCTGTCCCGTGAAATGTTGATTCCAGTTCATATGAATAATAATATTAGTTAATTAAATATCAATGAAAGGGTAAGTTTCAGTATTAGTTCACATCACTTTCCCGAGGTTTTACTCTGTTTTCCGTTTGGCTAAATTGGTCCATCCACCGTTTCAGAGTCTCTCAGCCTTCAGAAGTAATTCAAGGCATTAGAGATGCTAACTGTAACACTGTTTCCGGAGTCATTTACCAGATGGATGATAAGGTGAGAGCAAGCTCCAAATAAAGCTGTTTGATGAGGCTTCCGTGGTTATACGAGAGGACCGCCACTGTAACTTGAGGAAACACTGAGATAGCTCGGTCATTATTAGATGAAGCGTTATCAGTTGAGTCCTAAATCTATGGTGACGAAACATGTGAAAACCTCAGTTCCCACAGTCGCATATGTGAATTGGATGTATGAGAATGCTGTTACATCCTTCCGGGCCCTTCTATGAACCCTTCGCAAAGAAGTGAAAAAATATTTTGCTCGTCATCATCATCAACTATTACTTCAATATTAATTTCTGTTTGGAAAATAAAAAGTCACACTAGGGTACGTAGGTTTTGTGTAGCACTGCAATAGGGCAGCGAACTCACAGGCATACTTCCCATGTTGATTGAAATAATATCATTTGGGTTGCACCTTGAAGTATTCATACGTGGTTGCAGTAATAGTTATGATACATTACTTCCGTGGCTTCAGGCACACCAATTTTAATGACACGGATAGGTCGTCATATAAACTAAATAAATACAGTGTATGGTGGAGTAACATAGACACTTTTTTCAACATTACAATCATCTGGAACAGTCTGCTAACTAATTGCTAGATGTAATGCATTAAGAAATTTAGAAGTACTGTCTTCATATCAACAAAATAACCCAGGTTTAAGGTAAATACATTACAAACACCTGACAAGAGAGGCTTGAATACAAGTCTCCTACATACTTTTGTAATGTGGGGCCTTGCATAAACGCTGATGCGGGCGTCAAATGAGCGATTGGAAAGGCAATACAGGCCTTCATCACTGTGGAATCACCGTAGAAATCAGCTGCACTCAGCACCGGGAGGAAGACTAGCTTGTCAGTTCTAATGTGCATTCATTTCTTTGACATCGTTCAGAGACTTAGCGTTCATATCATAAGCAGTCCAATACAGGCTTTCGTTAACAGTTGTCCCTATTCCTAGGATCGAATGACTGACCAGAGATGATTAGCGATAAGAAAATCTGGCAGAGAACCAACCAAAAACCAATCGCCTAACACACATGCAGAAGAAATGGGGATAGATTGAACGCACTCTGAGGAAACCGTTGATGGACATTACACGTCAGCTCCTTGAAAGCAATTCGAATGGAAAAAGACGTGTTGCGCCCCTGTGGTTGACATGGAGGAAACAGTGTGAGGGAGGAACCAAATGTTGTAGGCAGTCATGGTGCTGGGCAAATAGGAGGCTGCGGGAATGAAGAGAATTAGAGATGGTTCGTCGTGGCGCTGTACTCCACTCGGAACTCAAGGAAATATTAATAATACGGCCAGGCACCCTGTTCTTGAAATGACAGTTTAATTATAATAAGTGAAACTTTTCTATATATTTGTTTTCTTATCTCAGCGATGGCGATGTAAGCCTACATCAGGGGTGAAGTATATCTTGTGCAGGCGAATGTCGTGCTAGTAAATGGTAAAAAGTGGTCATAAATGGATACGCTCCTGGTAAGGAAGCGCTGTGGAATAGTTTCACTGTATCAGGTAGGTCATATTTTACTTGATCGTGGCTGAAAAATGGCATGCATTTTCATGTTAATTTATGTTTATTTGAAAGTATAAATTATTATTATATTGTAACAACAGAAGGCAAGACACGGGAGCCAAAGTATGTTTTTCATCAATCAAGCCTCTTTTTATATATACACAGTTTATATTCTTTAACCAACCACCGAGCCTGTGGTTTTGTTTACGTTAAACGAGTGTGGAGTGTTCGAATACATAGTACAGTCGCTAACATCAAATAGAATGCCCAAATATATATGTGAATTATTCGCTGCTAACGCAGTATTGAACTGTGAGAATAATATTCTGACTCCAGCAACAAACAAAATTTCCAAATAGATATTTCGTATTCTTTTTGTAATGTCATATTGAACTGTGGGAATATGTGAAAATCATATTTCGTGGGAACACATTGTCTGTATCACTCACCATAATATAACCTGTAAGTCCGGCACTGTCAATATTTGTAGCTGCATCTTATTCTGTACGTGAGCTGATGGTTGTAAGTTGACCGAAGTGTGAGGAACAGCTGGATAAACAACCTTATTTTCTATGTAGATCATCAGTAATACCATTACAGGTTTTTCGTCAGTGTTCATAAATGGTGGACTAAACACTTTACAGTAAGTTCAGTGACGACAAGCCGCCTGCCATAGAGGTCACATTTAACTGATGGAACTTAGTCTGAGACAAACAAAGGACTAGGCGCACGAGACCAGTCAGTGTTCAGTGAAGTGATATCGTACGCTTACGATAGTGGCAACAATCAGGATCGGTTCCACATCAACTGTAGGTTCGTTAGCCCTCCACTGCAAGGCAAATAGAAGATATGAAACAAACAGCACAGTATCAGAAAAAGGCGAAGTATGTGGACAACTGCCTAAGTGAATTTTTGTTTTACATGTATTTATGTGTTTGCAATCATCGTGAATTTTCATTAGCTCAATAGACATTGATATGCGGGTTGATCTGTCATGCATTTAGGCAATAAATCTCAGCAAGGAACATATTCTTACTGCATGGTCATAACCATAAGTGTATTCATGCTTTAGATATTTTAGTGGCCCTAATATATGGTGTGTTATGGAAGCAAATAGTACATTCTTATTGTTTACGTAGTCACTAGACTATAACAGTTTATTTAGGGGGCCTCTGAATCATGTAACCGAGACACAGATTCTGATTTCCATGGACAAACTGCTCCATATCTTGGAATACATGATTGTGAAGAAGTCTGCGCATAGTGATTTTTTAAAGGCTTATTTCGTTACTGAGCAGGCAATAAAAGCCTACCAGTAAGAAATTTATGTCCCTATTGTCTGAGAGTGACATATTGTGCAAGAACTTAGAGAAGAACACTAGATGTATACTTAGCAGTCTCGTCCACAGCGGGTTAAGATTCAAAGACATACACTTTGAGGTGTAGTCCGATCATATTAATATCCAAGTAGCTTGAACGTGAAATACGGCTGGAAACTTTCCATCTTCAAATTATTACATCTGCGAACACAACTAGGAACAAACCGGCATTACTCTCATAGCAGTCTTACACACGTTTCATGTACTACCATTTTGGCTTCATCGATGTACAAATTTCCGAGCAGGTAGATCTGAAGGTTGCAGTCTTAATTTAGAGTCCACTGAAGGTCAGTGAAGCAGACCCAACCACATTTGTTCTGGCTGACTTGTAACTTTAGAGTGGAGGACCATAATCTCAAAATATCCTGGGTCATTGTATTGGGATGTGAAAGATCCATGGATCATATGTGTACACGAGTGGTTTGCCATGTGAAAAAAGTACAAATGTTACTCATGCAATACAAAGAGAGAGAAACCCGGGGTTTGCATAGAACTATATCAAAAGTGATTTGTCTAGTCTCCGAAGTCACAGAACCCAACTTTCGGGAATAATTAGGGTCATCCCGAAAATAGGTTGTCTATTCCTCAGGGATTCAGCTTATTTACCAAGAGCAAATGGCCGGCAGAGCCAAACGCCCTATAGACGCCAAGATAGGTGAGAAGTACTGGTTGTCATATGCCCGTTTGCTCGTTACTGAGTTAGAGAAATCAAGATCATGCATGGTCGTGAATTTATGAAAATGCTATGGTTTACCGTCAATGCCAACATTACTGCAGCTTTTGGAAGTACTGACTGCTTGGTTATGGCTAGCATATGTGAACTCAATGGTACTAATTTATTACAGTGTGGGGAGACACGGAAGTTGTGTTGCATATATGGAGTGTACACCGAGAAATGCGATTGTGGCCTAACGGTAGTCAGCGTCAAATATCTTCCTGAATAATTCACACATGCTTGTGTAGTCATTGTGTAGATAACATCTGTCGATTAGTGGAGAAATACTAGTACGTTATCACTTATTGTAGGAAAAGTGACAGTTCGTTTCCGGCCAAAAATGTCCGGAGCGACAAAGAACTTGTCATATTTAGCTGGATCTGTCAGTAAGTCACAGCTTATTTCGAGTAGATTGAAGTCTCTACATTGGATCTTATACCTGTGTGTAAGGCTGGGCATCTGCCCCAGTGCACTAATAATTTTGGTGTCGTGGTCACTAAAGGTTCAGTGGTGCACTGTGAATGCATCCAATTAGTACATTAACGTTTTTAAGGTGCTTATTGACCCATAGCGCGTGATGGATGTTCCCTATTTTAGGGCTGCAATAGTGTGTAGATAGGATAGTCTTCTCCCCTATTACTCTTCTAGTCACATAGAAAGTGTGTGTACTCATCGATGCCTATCTCTTTATTTGGTATATCAAGGTGAGAGCAAGTTTCACTAATGATAACTATGGGGGAATCGTACATGTGTGGGTCCCCCAAACTCCGGTAGTCAGTTTGGGATGAATCCAGCATTTACAAGAATTAGGTGAGCTGAGATTTGAAATATTTT